CTCCATTGCACTTGCTTCTTTGAAATATATTTGTTCGTGAAAACACTTTTCAAGAAAGTTTCAACATTTTCGGTTCCTATTACTATTTGATAGCGCCATCTCGCGATCAAGATATTGTTCAGTTTTTAATTAAAAAGAAAAGTTAACTCTTGCTGACTGAATCAGTAGTATATGTAACCTACATGTTAACGACGACCAAGTTAACAGTATTTCTATTTGCTACTAGTGCCATGCTATCAGAGGAGACTTTAGATTTCAGACGACAAGAGGACAATTACTGATAAATAATACTATCACTCACTTTTTTAAAACATACAGGTTCATGATAGAAATATTGGTGGATAGTAAAAAAATCTTAGATTTGCTGCGGTTTACGTTTATTAATATATATATACCTTATATTTTTACAGTAAATACTGTTTAATTATTTTCAAATGCATTCTATTCCCTTTGAGGTTGAAACGCTTTTCAGAATTACTATTACTGTTTGTGTATTATTAATTTAAACTATGATACAATAAGTTCAACACATTCAAACGATAGACTTTGCTCGCTATTTACAAAGTCCTTGTTTACTTTTTTATTCTATTTACCGAGGTCAGACGAAACGGTACAGAAATCTAGAAAAGTCATTTTCACTCTCGTCATAGCATCCTTGCGTTATACGCATACGGATCCACCTGCACAAAGGTATAGAGCAAGGAAATGTAGTTAGTTTCACGTGACCTCAACTGTTAGTTACGTCTACTTTTTTTGCTATGAAATGAGTTTTATGAATTGTTTTTGCACCTTTACTGAAAGAAAAGTTATATAGAAGCTTCAATAAGAAGAATATATTTATAAAGGTCTGGTTCAGCATTGCCTGTGGATGAAGTCAATTTCAAATATTACAATGTTGTCGATAATTTGGACATGATGAAGACTACATAATAAAAGATACAAGAGAGATATGCTCAAATATATGGACACGTAGCGCCACCCAGTGGCGATAATTTTGATGACGTCATAGCGAAAAAAAAAGTAATAGCCTTCTGGAGAAAAATTTTATGTTTAACCACTAAAAATATCAAAGCAATCGGTTCAGTATTCGAAGAGAAAAGCGATTTTTCAAAAATGGAGACGGAGACAAATAACAACAAGAGAGCTATGCTCAAATATATGGACACGTAGAGTCACATAATTTTGATGACGTCATAGCGAAAAAAAAAGTAATAGCCTTCTGGAGAAAATTTTTATCTTTAACCACTGAAAATTTCAAAGCAATTGGTCCAGTATTCGAAGAGAAAAGCGACTTTTTAAAAACGTGTCAAAGAACAAGAACAACAACATAATATTGAAACGATCGTTATGTCCACTACGTGTCCAATAACAACAAAATTTTGAAACGATCGTTATGGCCACTAAACGTGTCCAATAAAACGCAATGTAAAATAGATTATGTTCATTGAAGTTTTACTCTGGCTAGTGGCGTATCCAGGGCGTGGCAGCCTTGACTCGCGCCATGGGCGTTGTGTTGATGGACCTTTCCGTGAGCATCGACTTCCTCGTTTACTTCGTGACATTGGCCAATCAGCAAGATGCAAAAAGTGACGTAACGATGCTCCCGTTTCGCATCCGCTCAGACACTTTTCTCACTCAGACATATTTTTAAGCGTGGTCGTAAACATTACCTCGTTTTTGAACTCTAATCGTTAGTTTTCAGTTGTGTTTCGGAAACTCAAATATAAATCAGATAATTCAATAATCACTCTGTCTTCCTAGGAATTTAATTTAATAAAAAATTAGTGTAGAAATAGCTGTGATAGACTAGGCTAAAATTCTATACCGATACTTTAGAAAAACAGATTGTTGTATGCGGTTAATCATAACGATGGTTTGGAACAAATAGCCCCTTTTACAGCATTTAAGCACTCTCAAGATTGCCCGATAATTTTGCAACGCTGAAGTGCAAAAAGAATTTTTCGGGGGTCAAAGGTCGGGGAAAGGTCCATTGGGTTGCAAAATGACAAAAAGGAAAATGTTTCAATATATTAATTTCCAATTGGGGACGATCAAGGAGGCGCAACCTCGCCATTGGCGCCATTTTATGTAGACATGCACGCCACTGCTAGAGGATCTCAAAAATGTGACTACCAATCAATTCAATAATAAATCTCAACAAAAGTCAAGCTTTGTTTTAGATAAGTGAAACTAACATGATCTCTTTCAACGTAATAGTAAGTATATTCGTGAGCTTTCGTTAGATCATGGTCTAACTTCTTCAAACAATACAAAATACAAATTAATCAAACAGCAATAATCGTTGGGTTATATCTGTAGCAGATTCTTGAAGAATGCAAATACTGCATCAGCTTTTAGATTGAAGGATAACGAAGAGACTCGAATTTCTACTGTGATACATGCAAAGGCAAACCAGGTTTACATCTTGGTGACTGCTTCTGGTGTGTCATTCTGTAATCACTGTTGACTTCACATTACTCATTTTGTTGACTTACGTTATTTACTATTTCATCGATTTTGCCTGTAGCCTACCCTACACTAATGAGTCTTTTTTTCATTTATCCTCTACATACCTTATCCTTTGCAGCATTCTATCAAAGTTTGAGTCGAATATATAGGTGGGTCAAATTATGGGGTAGTATTGGACTGGCTACTTGGTTTCCGATCATAGTTAGCTTACTAGTCGGGTCGGTGACTCTCTGACTAGCCCTCTCTTCTACCAAAGTATTTGTGCCAGACCAGCGACATTATGATATAATTTCGAATATGGAACAGTAACAATAAGGATTCAATAATTTCTATATTTTTTTTCGTCAACGTTTGGGGTTTTCCCTTCCAAGAAAACTAACCTTCCAACCAAAGCTAATACTATAATCTTAGAAACCAATTCACATTCACAGTTTGCCCTAGTGCTGAACTCATGCCAAACATCTTGCTGAGTTGCGTACAGGTTGGTATTCATCACAATTTTCTTTCGCCAAGTCGTTGTTAATGAAATTCCAACAAAAGCCCATAATGTCATCCATATTTGGTGGTTAAACCTTCACACCAGGTTCCCCGTTAAACGTAAGTATAACCCGTGGCAATAGACGTGCGGGGAATGGCAACTCACATTCCAATATGGTGATGAAATAAACTAATGATTACTGACTCGTGGGCCACACGGATAGATGAAAGTGCCACAACAATTCAGTGTTGTCGACCTATACCACGAATCGAATACAGCTTATACAGGGAGTCCTCGGGTTACGACGGTCGCGACTTACGCTGTTTCTAGGTTACGAACGCGCACTCCATAACGCTGTTTCAAGATTACAAACGCAATCCATAAAAATATGAAAGATAATACTGTACTGTAATATCTAAGCCCTAAACTGGATCATTGTGACCAAGAAAATCAGTGCTTTGGGCTCATTGGTTTTCGTCATTTACGATTGCGAACTATTACGATTATGAACGAATAATCACTAAGCTTCAGTCACATGGTACACAGTTTCAGTGAGCCTGTACGCCAATTCGGTTGTTCCGACTTACATTTTCAAAATCGGGTTACACCGCGTCTCAAGAACGGAACAACGTCGTAAGTCGAGGACTCCCTGTAACCACATTGAGCCGCATATTATATTCACCATCTTGCAAGTAAGCGCCTGACTAACCAGAGTACAGGGGCAAAACTCAGTTTTACTGTGGCCTTGCACCATACACAATCAACATACAATGTTCTATACACGACCACAGTCGCCTTTGATGGTACAGTTTTGACTTCGCCTTAACCCAGCGGTCGTCATGGCTGCTCAGATTGTTGGTGCACGGAGTCGTTTTTTGTTTTGTTGTTGAAGAGCGAGATTACTGAGCACACCAGGTTGACATTGACATGCATTGACGTATTTGTTTTTCCAAATTAACATATATGTTACTGTATATATACAGTTCGACTTTTTGGACACTTAGTGATCATAACGATCTTTTCAATATTATGTTGTTCTTGTTGTTTGACACAGAATAACACACCTAGCGGAATGTTTAAAAAAACGCTTTTCTCTTCGAATACTGGACCAATTGCTTTGAAATTTTCAGTGGTTGAAGATAAAATTTTTCCCCAGAAAGCTATTTTAAATATTTCTGTTAGCGCTGTGAGATTTGTTTTTGTTTGCTATGACGTCATTAAACGTTCTGGGATATCGGACGTCATTTTGTGTCCTACTGTACTGCTCATTGAGGTGTATATAACTAGAGTGCGCATTGGCGGCGCTAGACGTTTACGATTTTGTGCCGAATTGAAGGTCGCGGCGGCCATCTTGCTACGTGCGACTTTCTGCTTGCGGGTGCGGTGAGTGGGTTGGATTAGCCGTGTATATACACCTCAAGGGTACTGCTTCGCTTGGTGTGAATGTATTTGTAGACTGTGATCTGACGGTACGGTAAACCGTACTGTACTGCGAACAGACGTGTCCATATATTTGGGCGTAGCTCTCTTGTTGTTATTATTTTCTTGTTGGACTTGCTTATGGGTGCCGCTGCTGGATAACCAAATTTGGTTTTTTGCGGATCCCCTCACCCTGAAATGGTTTTTAATTATTTATTTCAATTTGCATATCGAGTGTGCTTCAAGTATGGTGAGAAAATAACTACTGATTAAAAACCACTCACACGCGAAACTCACAGAGTGATCATCGCATAAGAACAAAGTTTAGCTGCGACCCTCTCCTGCTATCTAACGACCACGCAAAAAACCGCTATGGCGGTGGGTTTTCTGCCGATTTGGAAGATATTTCTCTGGATCGGCAATGCTTCAATAAAAACGATTAAATGCGAAGAACTTTTTTCACTACTTCAAATTTAAGACCTTTTTATAATTCGATTCGACCGTGTGGAAAATCATGCTAAACGTCAGGAAAACACTCGCCACCGTACCGCTGATTACCGTGGTGGAATCATGTGTGAGAGGATGGATACCGGTACTCCACCGACAGGCCGTAGGATTTACATATCTATCCCCGGGAAGAAGAAGCCCGCTAGTACGGTTTTCGTCCGGTTATGGTACCAGTCCATGTAGGGTACCGGTATGGCTCGGCGGTGTTGCGGATTGTGCTAAGCCTACCCACACCTGACATGAACTGGCACGATAACCGGACGAGAGTCCGTGGTTAGATAGAGAAAGATTTATTTTTTCGTCAATCATTAGCCATATTAGTTTTAACGGCTTTCCTCTCCCCCGGTATAAATTCGTAAATCCTACCGCACTTGTATGGTGGAGGAAGCCAGAACCGACCAGCAGGTACCTGAACCACCTATTCAGTGGAAACAAATATTGGAACAGAGAAAACAGCTTTTAGCAGACAAGACTTGATGAAATATTGATTAGGCCATGATGGCTCGAACCCAAAATTTTAAAACCTGGTAAGTCAGAATTGATGCATCATCAAAAATTATTCACTATTCCTGATAAAATTTATTACAATGACAGTGAACAAGACATAATAGTGCAATAGGTTACGATGTAATAATGCATCCACAGTGATCTCATAATAATGATGATTATAAAATGAACTAAATTATATTAAACATGATTCGCATGTTTGTACATTCCACAAATAACAAAAATATCGAATACAAAGGAATGGCACTTGGGAAACGGAATGATTTCAAGAATATACATGAGGTATTATCGCCAATGTGGCACTTGGGTGTCTGACCTGGGTTTACCCGAAGTTCAAAACTGAGTGTTGGAGCACTTCTTGTAATCCGAAAGCCGTTTATTTTAAATCAATATCAAGTTTTCAGTACTACTTGATGTCTTCCGAAATCGTGCCACGCATTCATAAATTTGTACACAGGCAGTAATTAGTGAAGGCGGCGTTCGGAACCAAGTGATAATATGAGTTGTAGTAACTGAACTCATATCAATTAATTTAGCAATGTAGCTTTAGCATTAGTGTTCATTTAAAATTCTCAAACGCATTTTGATTGAATACAATTTCACCAAGAAAATACGGTCCAAAAATGCACTCATTGAAACTGTTATTATGAAAAAAATTGAAAGCGAGATATAAATTTAAATTCTTAAGAACCTTTCTTCATTTTGTAATATATAAAAAAAAAGTGCACATATCATTTCGGAAGAACATGAACTAGCAAAAACCGAAAAAATCCGGATTTGAGACCACGAAAACCAGAAACTTGTAGCAGACCCGAACCAGACACCCTAGTATGGGCCATGCTGCGGATGGCGCGGAATCTAACAATATCTCAGACTCGATCAAATGCAGTGAAATTCGAGCACACAAAGCTCAACTGTTGAGCAAACGGATCTCATTCTGAATGTCAGAATATTTGTATTCTGTGATTCTCTCTATCACTGACTGCAATGTCTCCGTTCCGTAGAATTGCAACCCCTTCCAACCCTTTCATTTGTCCAGGCTCAGAACCCCAGCTGCCAAAACTGGATAAAAAGCTTCCATCATTGCGAAATATCTGAAATATAACAAAAGAGCCTTCCTCGCTTGATTTCAAAGCAAACTTGTTAGCATATATCGGCAACCATGTCACCAATAAAGCCAAAGCCAACGTAAATGCGCATTAACTGCAGATAAAGGTAACTTCCAATAAGAACAAAATTTAGTATAAAATGATTTATTTTACTCCATAGTCAGCAGAATGGACTATTTTTGATTCAATTTGGAGCGTTTCGCCATAAATAAGTGGTGCATGTTCACTCCCCCAAATATATAAATCAATTCAGTTTCATACAACCACAGAAATATGATAAAATACAAGAAATGGGTTGGAAATGTGAATGCGCACTCTGTATCCCAATATGAGTGCATACTCCATTTCGTTCAATATTAGTGCATTCATAGGAAAACTTTACAGAGAGAAACTTACCTGAATTCGATTATTTCCGCTGTCCCCAACGATGATATTCCCATGTTGATCTGTAGCGACACCTCTTGGATATTTGAACTGTCCATCACTGGTACCTTCCGACCCAAACTTGTACAGAAACCTTCCATATTTATCGAAGACTTGAATTCGATGATTTCCACTGTCTCCAACAACAACCTGTGGTAAAGAAATGATTTTTGTAATTAACGATTAATATGCCTTTCTCACTGAGCTAATGAAGGACTATATTTAAAAAGACCAGAATCTTTTCAGTATGCAGGTGTCTAATTTATCGATATCAGGATTTTGGGCGAGGAAGAGGAGCGATTTGATGGTTAATATGGCCATGACCTCTTTTCTGGTTAACAGTTCATGTCTAGTATGGGATTAGTTATCGAGATATTTGTTTCATATACGTGGATTTGATGGTGGAAGGAAGCTGTGACTGACCAGCGGTTACATGAACCCCCACCCTATGGCGGCGAGGAGTATAGCAATCCTCTTGCACATAATTATCCTGATTCTACATTGCAAACTTGCGAAGCTCAATTAGAGATGATGGCGTGAGTATTCTTGACACTCAGCGCAATGGCGCTAAGCCTCTATAAAAATAGTCATTTTTTTGTCGCAACAGTATTTAATTCTATGCAATTCAACTTATATATTTTTTGAAATGCTGACTTAGTTATACTACCTGTACCTGTTTCTTTTAATTGCCGTATTATATTTTGACATTATATATAAGTATAATGTGTATTTATTTTATAAATACAGTTTTTGGACCCAGCACAGTGGGTTAGGGATACTGGCAAATGCACCAGACCAGCATTATTTTCAAAAGTACATCAAAGCAATAAAAAACACTTGCCTTACTATCCTGAGTTATTGAAAGATATTGCGGGCTGTCAAATTGGGTATCCTGCGAACCAACTCGACCGAATTTGCGAATGAATGTTCCATCAAGAGTAAAAACCTGTTGAAATATAACAAAAGATAAACATTTTAACTGAGAGAGAAAAGTGGATGAGATCGTTTAATCATGGACTCTTGTATGGGTACTAGCCCAGATCGAGTGAAGTAATAGCTTACAGGTTTTTACCCATGTTGGTGGAGCAAAACCCCTGTCTAATAGTGAGTTAATTGTCTTGTGCAAAAAAAACTCTAAATTTATATAAGGCTAGCCTAATACTGGCAAAACAAAATGATCTATGAAGTGTATCCAGTTTATTAATAGTGGCAAACTAACGGTAATAGTTATAAGGAGTCTTTAGACTCTTGGATTTGAATGCAATCTTGCAGAACAATTGGACTGTACTGAATCCTAGGCGACTCGGGTTCCAAATAGTGACTGTCATAATGGCGACTTCATAATATCGACGTAATCAAGTGAGTGACTATCAAAACAGCGACTGTCATAATGGCGGTCGCATTAAAACAGCAACAGTTCGACATCACTTCCTTTATTATATCCAAGGCTTTCACGCACCAGCACTCTTTTTTTTTTTCAAAGCAATAAAGCCAACCCCAGAACAAAGAAAAGAAAATCGGCTCTATAGTCAAAGTATACAGTATACCTGAATTCTATGATTGTCTTTATCGCAGACGTAGACAAATCCCATGCTGTCGGTTGCTATTCCCCAAGGATAACTCAGTTCACCCTCACCTGGACAAAAACAAGCAACTTTTAATTTCAAGCATAATAGTTAATGTGGATTTCCAATCACTCAAACATTTTGTGCTAATAGCGCATGTTACTTGCAATTCATGTTGAATACAAATATTTTTCATGTTCATCCTGAGAAAAAGAAAAGCCAACTACGCCAGTGGTCGGCAACCTTTTTTCAGGGACGGACCGGTAAAATCTGACCACAATTTTGGCGAACCAACCTTTATAGAAATTACAGACGAACTGATCAAATGTGATAAATTATATGCGCTACTGGTATTAGAGATTGGCTTGTCGTTCCACCTCATATAATCTGTGGATTCAGCGGTTCCCAAACATTCTGTTTGTGCGACGCCAAATTATCAGAGAAAACACATGACACACTTACACGAAAAAAAAATGCTTCTTCTGAATAAAACTTTGTGATCGTGTTTTATGCTCGTGTTTAAAAAATTTGTGAACATGTAGGTCAGGGTGGTCCAAGGTTGTCGGCCTCACGGGCCACACTATAATTTTTGTTTTGTTCGCGAGCCACAATAGTGCTAAGAATAGGTAAACAGTGCAACACAAAACAAACACTTTTATTGTCCAAACACATTGGTTATTATTTGTCATTTATCAAGCAAAAACATGCAAAAAACTCACTTTAAAGTGCAAAAGTTTTACTATATCTACATTCAGTGTAAGACTTCAAAATCTTCATAACGAAGGAAGGGCCATACGAAGAAAATGCCCGTTGAGGTTTCATATTAAGCAAGCATTGTGATATTTTTCCTCCTGTATCTAGTCAAAAATCTATTTGAATTGGTTAGTTTTTATTTCAAACTCATGTTTGCAAAACAACTTACAAATAACTGCAGATTGATTGATCACCAATTTTTACCAAATTTGAGATACAGGAGGGTAATTACTAAATTTTCTGACATATAGGCAGCATTTTTTGTAATACTGTCTAGGTTGCTTGCAAAAAACCACCAGGCAGGAATTACATTGGTTGGCCATTACATTAATGTTTATTTATCAGGCATAGCCAACCTAGGCTAATAGATTCCTCATTTGGTTTTTAGTTTTCTATAAAGCCGATTTTGTTAGCATATATTCCCGATCGAAAATATAAAAACCAACAATTTAGACTAGCCAAGCACATTATTCAACTTCGCTGGTTGCCTCAGCTAGCCATAACACCAGTCAATTCAATGACATTAGTGATGTAACAATATGTCAGAAGATTTTTCTGGTTAATTTTTATGCGAAAACAACACCAAATGCGATTTTTTGTTTACCCTTGCGCAAATGCAACGTGGGCCACAAGAAATGAAGCAGCGGGCCACATGTGGCCCGTGGGCCTGGGTTTGGACCACCCTGATGTAGGTTTTGAGAATGAAGGCAATGTCAACAAAACAACATAGCGTCATAACGTTTACAAATATTTACCTAATAAGAGGTGTGCGTGCGGCTACTGCTCTGAATACACCTTTTCAAATATTCAATCATATATCAGTAACTTTTAATACAATTTTGGTAATTTTCAGGTTGCACTTAGTAAAGCGCTGGGGGAACCGCTGGTGAACCCGAGTTATCAGAAATACAATTTTTGGCAATTGACCTTGGTGTTTATACATCGGGAATAAGAAATTGTCAAAACGAAAATAATAATGAAAAAAACACACCAGACCCTTCCTCTCCAAACATCCTGATGAATCTTCCCTGAGAATCAAATATTTGAACGCGATGATTATATCTGTCTGATGTAATAATCCATCCTTGTGATGTCACAGTGACTCCAGCAAGACAATCAAATTCACCAAAGCCTGTTCCGTAACTTCCAAACGTATGAATTGATGTCCCGGACAAATCAAAAATCTGTCAGTGATGATGAAAAAACTTGAATCAAATATAAATTTTCTGGCTAATAAAGCCAGTGTTCTGGACCCACTTTTTTGCCTAATTTTCTGGGATTAGCTCTTTGTTCTGGGGTCAGCATATCATTAGCTACGGATCAGTAAAATAGGGGAAATAGAGGACAATAACATACTTTCCACTTCATTTTTATGAGACACAGTTTCCACACTATGGATCTGGAATATCTTCGCTGTGATTATAAGATATGGTGAGTACACAACGATCGTTTCAATATTATGTTGTTGTTGTTAGTGTCACGGACGAAGTTGTTGTTACCGTGGTTGTAGATGAATCAGAAGACTCAAAGATTTCGGATTGGTTGTTTATTGTACGGCAACTCCAAAGCATATAACAGCCAAACAGATTTAACAAAACATCACTAGAGAACTGAAAACATGTCCGGCCGCCAGCGCAGCGACCGGAGAAGAGAGCTCGAAAGACAGTTTCTGCCTCACATGTAGTGACATAACAGTCTATAAAAATATATATACAAACAATATAACCACGGACACTTCATTCCGCGACATTAGTATTCATCTTCTTCTTGTGCAAATCTCTTTAACTGCTGGACCAATCGTTTCAAAATTTTCAGTGGTTTGAGATTGTATTCTTGCTTGAAAGCTGTTACTTTTATTCATTTCACAAACATTTAAACATAAAATTATACCCCCTCAAAAATACCTGAATCCTATGATTACTGCTGTCAGCGACCACTATGTTTCCATCTGGTGTAGCGGCAATACCTCTCGGCCAATTCATACATCCGATATCACTGCCTTTCATTCCGAAACACCTGAAAAAGTTGCAAGATTTTTTTATATGATCGGATTTTTATATTCAACTGGAGAGGAAAGTTGATGACAGAAGGAGCAGTAACCAGTAAACGGTTATGTGACCCACTCTATGATGCAATGAAGTCCAGTCCAAAGTGGGGTCACAGGGGCACAAAAAAAATTTCAACCATTTTGTAATATGTAACTTTTTCAGTTTCCGTTGGAAATTTTGATTTTGACCCACATTCAAAATGAGTTTCAAAGTGGTTAGGTTCACGAATGAAACCTGTTCCTAGTAAAAATAAAATTCTGACTGCAAAGGAGTTGGAAGTTCTGATTTTGGTTCGTTTTTATAAGTTGTAAATGTGATACAGAGCCAAGATTAGCGTCTTGCAATTTATTTTATTTACGATTATTTTCCATGTTCATCCTGAGGGAGAGAAAAGCCAACTAGACTGCTCATGTATATAGAGAACCATAGACAAATATGAAACCTGTGGTCGGTCAAGGCTTACTCCCCCACACTACATTCATATTCAGGATAGGATATTCATAAGCATCCAGGGAGTGGAGAAAGCTTGAAAGAAATCTAAATCATATAGTGACCAGTCACCAGTCCATGTCAGGTATGAGATTAGTTAACCAGTTATTTATTTCAGATAGCCGTAACTTACCAGTGGTAAAGTGAACCACTCTATGACGGCAAGGAGCCGTGCCTCTCGCCCACAATCATCCCTCGCAAGATTTAAATCTGCAAACTCACGCAAGGTAATCAGAAGTGCAATAACAAGTGTAACTCTAAAGTTTAGAACGTTGCGCCACGCACCCAGCCTGGAATCATTAATTGGTAAACTGTTTGTTCCCACCTCTAACATGGACTAGTAACCATGATTCGCCATGTAACTAAGCATATATATTGACTCGCCTCTCCCAGTGTAAGTATGAAAATCCTAACCCCTAATGCCATCGCATTGAATTTTTTTTGGACTAAAACAGGGCTGGGGTCAAAGTTTAAGCTAGCTAGATTCGACAATCAGATTTCCTCAGACAAGAAAGAGTCGGAATTTCACACCTCACTCTATGATGATGAAACAAGTCAAAATTTTGCAAAGAATATAAAAAGGCAGAAGATCAAGTTTTCCTAAAAAAGATGCAAAAGTTATTAAATTTAGATTTTCTCAGAGTGTAAAGTGGGGGCTGGAGACCATGAATTTCCCAGAATTGTTTAGAGCGAGGGCTCGAGACCCAATATTTTATAACCTACTGTCAAAGATACGAATCGAATATAAATTTCATTAACTTAGCGGCTCTGCGTACTATAATCACGACTGTTTGCCATAAAAAGATATTTTATGACAAAGACATTCACTTTTTTACTTGTCCCTTGCTCCTATACTGCCATAATGTTGTTCGGACGCCAGTCACATGCGGTGCAAACTCTTGACTCCCTCCAGTAGAACTCGTGGGTGATGGACGTTCATTTCCTATTGTCAAATATGAAGATATATTCGAAGTGCGACCTCCACGACCCCGGCGTCGATTGTTGCCACGGAAACGAGGGTTAAGAGACGGAACTAAAAAGATGTAAAACAGTTAAAAATCGCAAAAGAGATTAAAGCAGATATGTGTTGCTGTAACCTGTTCTAATATTTATTGTTTGTTTGATTTATATATTACTGTTATTTATCTATTACTGTTAGACTTGTCATGGGTGTCGCTGCTCGATCACCAGTCTTGGTGTCTCGCGCCTCCCTTCGCCCTAAAGTACCATATTTCCTATTTCTTGTATTGTGTATTCACATTGTGTGCTTTAGAATGGTGAAAAAATAAATTACTGATTACTGATAACAAGTTAAACATCTTGAGTTCACTGTATGTCTAACAGTGTTTCTCAGCCGGGATTTTGCAATGGTTTGATGATTTTCATTCAAACACAAGAGTCAATATTTGCCATAGACAAACGATGGACCAAATCCGGTCCGTTGGGTAATTCAATCATGCTGCCACAAGCCCACAACCAAACTAAAATTGTGATGTTTTAGCTAAAAAATAGCTCGAGGCATTTGTTGAAGTTTTGGACTAAGCCTATTGTTTTCCACTTTTGCTTTTGTATTACTGTAATTATGATTCTGTTCATAAAATTTAACTTTTTACGTCACACTTACATGGCCACCCACCGTCATTCTGGGTGCTTGCCCCCACCTGGTCTATATTAATATAAGTTGTTTAAATAAAATCATAGTTAAATTAGTTTCGTAATTAGTACCGTAATTAGTTAAATTAGTTTCGCCACTATTATTAAATATGCTACACTCTATTTCAGGGGTTCCCAAACCGCGGCCCAAATCCGGCCCGCGTAATGACTTAAAATGTCCCGCCGAGGTTAAGTGTGTGATATAGATCTAATTGTTACGTCATTATCACAGTGTAAATTAAGCACGTGTATCGTAACAATTCAATTATACCAGTATCTCAATTATACCTACCAGTATTAGGATATTACATAGGGCAGTACCTTAAGAAAGCTTAGAGATGTCAGAAAACAAATGAAAACTAGACTCCAAAAACAGACAATTATTAGATAAATTCTGCATTGAAAAGAATCAAACTTTAGCGATTTGTCTTCTTCGCCAACAAACTATTCCAGTTCTGAAGGAATACGACATTAATCGCCATTATGAGTCGAACAAACACAAAATGTCAAATGAAGGTGTATCTGGCGCTATGCTTTTGGATTCTAATTTTGGCCTGCGGCCAATAAGGTTTGGGAACTCCCGCTCTAGATTCTCATGTATCAGTGGTAAAGATCTGTTCATTACACCCCTGTGTGTTCTCTGATATAGACAGCTTCTTGTATGGAGCAAAAATATAACATAAAACAAACAATTAAACTTACTTGGTTCGATTCTGTTTCTTGACGTCTCGTTTAGGTTCGGTGACTCGGGACGGGCCAGAAGACTTGGTGTCGGTGTATAAGATGATAGATCTATATCAAAAGTATCTGTAAGAAGAAAGTATTCGAATATGTATTGAAGATATAGTGTTGGACTTCTATATTCTACGTGATTCAAGGGTCTTACTGCATACTTCACAAATATATTTCTGCAGTGCTCCATATGACCAAGGTCAGACTTCCTCAGACAAAACGCTACGAAATGATGAGCTCCATCTTTGAGCAAGACTCGCGAATCAGCCCTCAAATACGTTCACATTAAATTACACAAACATAATAACAGCTGCGATTTCATCAACAGCCTCAAATAATATCGGTACTGTAAAAGATTTGATACTAAAATTTCCCAATTATCCTGTATTTAAATTACTTATAAAATAAGCTACCATTTGTGGTGGATTTGAACACGTGAATATGAGAAACCTTGTCAAAAATATTATTTAATATAGAGACACTGAATTTTATTTCGGGTACTTCTGACCTTGGTCGAACGAAATGTTACAGAAAAAATATTTGTGTGAGTGTGTATAAATCCTATTCTGACATGACATTCCAAAAACACGTTCATACAATCCCGCTGAGTTCAAACACTGGTTGCAAATTTATGATTATGAGGCATTTTCATACCTTTACTCTGAGCATGGCTCAGTAAAAAATCATTACCTGCCCTCCGTCCAAATCTCGGGCTGTGTTCTCTGTTGATTGCACGTCGTATTTCCGCATCATTGATCACAAGGTCACTACCGAAGGTCATTGATAATTTTGAAGGAACATGAAACGAAATTCCGCCAAAATCAGAAATTGAGCAAAGCAAGGAGCGTTCCCCTTCCCTCTGAAACTGAAAAACATGATTTGCAAAAACTCCTACACTTGTACTGAATGCTAGTACAGATAATCATAGTCCTGATCATTTCTTTATTACTTATCGATCTTAAGATCGGTAAGTATATTGATAGGTATTTGTCTGTATGTCTGTCTGTCTGTGTGTCTGTGTGTGTGTCTGTTAGATGAACGCGATATCTCGCGAACGCGTGGTTGAATCTGCTCCAAATTTTGCATGTGCATGCATCTTACCTCGGACCAAAAGCCTATAGATTTTGGGTTAATTATGTCGTATAATTGGCGAGTTATTAACTAATTACCGATCTAAGATCGATAAGTCTTCGGTCTCCGACCGATATTCTCGTTAAATAATTACAGATGTTTCCAATTTACGAAGACATTAAACTGGATGATATTGGTATTTTCATTTCAAGTACGGTACGTCATGCATCTGAAACAGATAACTGGCTAACTAATCCCATACCCAAAATGGACTGGTAACAGGACAAGAGACAGTGGTTCGGCATATGATTAAGCCGTATTATCAGCTTCCCTCTCCCCCTGGATAAATATGTGAATCCTATCCTATTTGTCTTACTCAGAGATGAACAGACTACCACCTGTCTTACCTAGGGATGAGCAAACTACCACCTGCTGGCCGCAGCCATAGCATTTTATGCGTCCCCTGCTCTTGGAGAAAGTTGAGAAAATTTCTCACAACCCAATCCCAAATTCGATTTATTCCCAAAAATATCAAACAATGAATTTTTATAAAATAATAATAATGTTTTCTGTTTAACAATGTCAGCTACTGTTATTTTGACACTATCACAGCGAATGGGGAAAGTAACTGTGATGTCACATACAGCCAGTAGTGGGATTCAGCCGGTTCGTACCGGTTCTATAGAACTGTCTCGCGGAATTTTATGCAATCAGCGAACCGGTTAGCATTACATGACTTTTTGTAACAGAACCGCCTGAAAATTCGACATTTGTATGATGGAACCGGCTGACAAAAAATTAGAATCCCACCACTGCATAGAGCCCTTTTATGCAGCCATTGCAAAAATCTTTGTCCCCCCCCCCCCTGTTAAACTTCAGCCACACTATTTTCTTACCCATACCCGATTTGTCCCACATATCATGCTGCTCTTGTCTCACACATGTGTTGGAGTGTTGGAAACTACAAAGTAAAATGTCTACCCCCTAAAATAATGTAAAGTATACTTTGTCTCATCATTTCCAGAAACACATGCTTTTGAAAGTTAATTTTAATTTAAGAGTAAATTCAGTGATTAGCTTAATTCTTGTAATGCATATATTTTCTGTTTGTTGGCTTAGATATTATATGCAGGTGATAAAAAAAATAACTATGGTTATCCTGTTAAAAATAAAACTATTTTTTTTTACTGAAGAGTAAGGGCCACGAATCCAGGGAGCAATAAAGTAAAAAAAATGTAGTTCAAGGTGAAAGGAGTCGCGATAAACCAGTACTGAATATTGCGACGTCTATGTAGAAATCTAACATTAAATTATACCAGACTAACCTTTATTGATCTCCCAATTTTGTCTTCAATATTATTTGTTACAGTTCTGTTGTTTCTTACATGCTCCTTGCTTTGTCGAGTCAACTGAAGGACTTCAGTCTGTAATTGACGCTTCGCTGTCATTGTTGATGACCTGGCATAAAGAGACTTTAGGAAAGGATTTTCATATTTATCATAGGGAGAATGAAGCTGATAAGACAGCTTAATCATACGCACCACAGCTTCTTGTCTGCTTACCATACCAGGCATGTCAGGTATGAAATTAGTTGACCATTTATTTGTCTCAGATGCACATACTTGATGGTGGAGAAAGTTGTAAACGACCAGCGATTACATGAACCTATGACATAAGGGAGTCCAGCAGTCCACTCGAACATAATTATTGGAATCGAACCTGCAAACCCACTTAGAGTAATCAGAGGCGCATTCCTCACGCATAGCAGATGTGCCAAAAAGCCGAGCCCAGTTAACAAAGTATTAAATGTACAATGGATAAAATTTTAGGTGTCAGTCCCATGTTCACTAAAATACGATAAATTGGATGGGAAATTTGGAATCGAGAAAATTCCTATATTTCCAAAATAATGCAGCTCCTCACCCGCCTGTGCCTTTTTCAGGGTGAAATGCATAATAAACATGAAAAAACATAAACACATACTGACCCGTTATTTTCTGCAACTGAGCTTGACTTGTTCTCGGCATTCTCACAGAAACTGCTCATTGTCGCTAGTTCTAGTTGTAGATTTTCTTGTTCAGTCTGTAGAGATCTGTAAAGGAACATGAGAGAGCTCAAATATATGGTGAGACTGTGGGGCAATGAATATGCTAAGAAGATCAATGGACAAGCAATTCAATTACACTCGAGAAAGTTATCATAAAAAGTGTTCCTCTTTAATAAAAAGAAATGATTCCGGTCCTTCCAAAGCTCCAAAATTTGTATTGATAAACATCAATGATATCTGACATTTATCTAATAATTATATTTTTTAACTAAAAGGTTGCTGTTTCTTACGTATTGTTAGAATCAGTAGATTAGAGGTTACCAACTAGGAAAAAAAAAATGATCAACTAGATTAGAAGACAGGTCACAGAGAGGTGGTGGGGTGGGATTTTGGGGGCACAATGATAGGCGTCGCAGAACTGATTTCACATTTCCCTCTACAAGAAAACTCCCCCTTATTCCTTGATTGATAAGGTGTTTTCACTTTGTTGAGCATGAATTGTTTGAACGATGAGATTTGAAATCTAACGATGAAAAAAACACTATAAATACCACTGCAATGATAAACAGGGGGGAAGGGGGCCACCAGCCTTAACAAATTGAGACCACTGCAGTAGATGCTATAAAGGCCTTTTTAAATCCGGCAAATAAAAAAAAGTGTTTCTTACTGTTATCATGAGGCACAGACCAACATGAAAAAACCCACTACACCAGTGGTTCTCAAACGATGGGCGCGCTCCAAAAGTAGGGAGTGGACAATGTTTTGAGGGGACGTGAAGCTAATTAAAAATATTTGTTACAGTTGATCTTTACCGTCTTATTTTGGATATTTACATTTCTTGATTGTTTAGAAAGAGAGCATGTAGCTTTATTCCATCCACGAATATTCAACAGTCATCCACTATCTGTCATTTGTACTTTATTGTTGGTTATTTATTATTCAAGTGGGGTGCGAGACTTGAGAAATTCTAAAATCGGGGCGTGGCTTAAAAAGTTTAAGAACCACTGTATTACACCATCAAATTCAATCTGTCAAAGAGGACTCATCATAACAGTTTAAAGAGCTTCATATCAATTCAAGCACCACTTAATTCTGAACTGGTCGGCGACAAAATTTGATACACTTGATCATGAAGTGGGGTGTTCAGGATTAAACCTCCGAAATTAGATGTGTTTAATAAACAAGAAGCAATACTGAAATATATAGCCACGCATTGGCATGGTAAGGCCATAGAAAAAAGAGTGCTCTAGAAGTATGGAGGTAACTAATTTTGTTCGCCTATTTTACATCAATTTGTGTAAAGGGACTGAAACCTATGGACAGGGGGATATTCACTTGGCTAACACAGACAGTCACCAAACTCGTAATAGTACTAAAATACGGGAAATCGGAATGGAATTATGGCCTAACCCTAACCTGGTACACATACTCCTAGAGTGCCAAAAAAAGTTTTTCCATATTTCCTAAAAAGTGATCTCATTCTATAAAATCAAACAGCAAAATTTCAGGTCCACTAGGTATGGGAGGAAAATAAAACAACAGTAATCTTCAATTACTTGAAATTCTACAACACAGGGATACTCAACTATACAAAACTTCAAAAAAACAGGGGTCTGATCGTCACAAAAGATATATTCAGTGTGTATAAATGTATTTCAGTGCCCCTAATTTTGAGGTTAACGATTCATGAAAAACTCAATACATTGGACATATGCAACGGGTAAGGTAATTCCCTGACCAGTGGTTTAATCAAGATGCGTTCTTAAGATCGGTATCTGCAATATCGGCCATTTTTTCGGTATCGGCCATGTATCAGTTAGATTGGGGCCGATATATTTACTTTTTTGATATGGTCCAGAATGTTTTAAAGGACAAGTTGGAATACTACTTCTTAATTAATTTTTTGTCTGGAGAGATCGTGAGCTATGAGCCATACATGTCCTCACCCCCGCGAGGGAATAGGATTCACCTGTTTTTAGCTATTTATCAGCCAAACTAGCTCAACTAATTTTGCTATTTTCGCTGTCAAATTTTTATATTGACATTTTTAATATTACATAGTAATAATGAAGAAATATATCAACACAGCACATAACAAAAAGCCACTAGGCGCCCAATTTTAAATCATACAGTGGAATTGGAGTCCTTATTAACGGCACATGCACTTTTGGCACGGCTATAAATTGTGACCGCTATGTCGTCAAGTACGAGTGTCATTTAGTCTGTCGACATCGATAAACTAAATTCCGACACACTTATCCCTCTACGCAGGTATTAATTTTAATTTTGTTCAACTACACAATTTCTTTATAGATATATTGACCTGACCGCCTAGAGTAGACTGTCTCAAAATATATGATAGTAATTGTAAAATATTATAAAATAGTAAAGTAGAAAAACATCCTCAACGGTTATAGGTAGGCCGTCTTCTTGTCGGTGCTGATTGATAATTCTTTGGTTATAGGTTGGTATTATATGTTGATTTTGACTTATTGCGGCGACGATTACGATTAACCACAAAATAAGATATTTGTAAAATGCTTTTAATTTGAACGTAGGACGGCGGCGCTAGAATGTGTGGATGATATTCGATATTCTTTTAAACACGAATAATGATATTCAAAGGTCGCGATATTAATATTAAATTCAAATTGGACATCCCGGCTTATGAATTTTCTAATTGAACACCGAGATTACTAGTGTCACTGTACAATGTATCTTAGTCAGTTACAGCATCTGACATCAATTTCAAAATTGGGGGATATATCTCTTTTTTCGATCTGAAACAACGCTAAAAGACCATTGTTTTAACCCGTCTGCCCTACACAGCACACCTAATTAAATAAAATTACATACCGTATATGCTCGCGAATAGGCCGATTTTTGAAACTCAAAAAAAAAGTTGCCAAACTGAGGGACCGCATTATTCGCGCATAACTCAGATTGCACCAAAAAATCAGCTCATTCGTGCATCAGAATTTGATCACGCAACGAGATGATATTATGCTGACTTGCCGGTAATTCCAAAAGCTTCAAACCATACCAAGTTCTCACGATAACAAGCGTGCACGCACACACACGATGGCTTGTGAAGGTGGATTGTCTTATCATACAGCTGATAGCTTGTACAGTCTGTGATTGGTTTGTTTTTGCTCGCTTGTGCAGGTGTGATTGTCTTATCATACAGCTGATCGCTTGTTCAGCACATGCCGCTTGTACAGTCTGTGATTGGTTGGTTGTCGCTCGCTTGTGATTGTCTGATCCCACGTGATCGCTTGTACAGTCTGTGATTGGTTGTCACATACTTGATCGCTTTCGCTTGCGTGTTTGCGCTATTAAATAGTCTTGTCATTTATCGTTCATTCCAGTTTTAAACTACCGTTATCATGTCGAACTCTATCAGAAAAAGAATGCCTTACCCTTGTTATTTTAAACTCAAAGTAGTAGCGGCTGCAGAAAAGTCAAGCAACCTTGAAGTAGCAAGAAAGTTTGGAGTGGATGAGAGTAATGTTAGAAGATGGAGCAAGGATAGCTCATTGGAATCCATGCCAAGTTCAAAACGCGCCAAGAGAGGGCCCAAAACTGGACAACATCCTGAAATGGATAAGGACCTTTTTGAGTGGTTCAATGGCCAAAAGCAGAATGGCTACAGTGTATCACAATTTGCAGTGCAATTGCAAGCATTGCAGATGGCCAAATCTGGTAATTACCAAGGCACCTCCACTTTCACTGCTTCCACGGGTTGGTGCACAAGGTTTTTAATGAGGAATGGAATATCTCTTAGACAAAAAACAAAAATAGCCCAAAAGCTGCCTTCGGAATTCCAAGAAAAAATCATCAACTTTCAACGTTTCGTGATAAGCAATCGAAAGACTCATAATTTTCCTCTGACTAGAATGGGCAACATGGACGAAACCCCAATGTGTTTCGACATGCCGGATAATAGGACATTGAACGCAAAAGGTGAAAAAACAGTTCTAATAAAAACAACAGGGCATGAAAAAACCAATTTTACGGTAGTGCTCAGTTGCGATCGAAGTTGCCCCCAATGATAATAATATTTAAAAGAAAAACACCACCAAAAAAAAAATTTCCTTCTGGAGTAGTCATACATCAGCACGCAAAAGGATGGATGGACGAAGAAGGTGTATTGAAATGGCTAAATAAGGTCGGGAGGCTCAGAAATGGGGGTCTTCGCATGAAACCCTCAATGTTAGTCTGGGACCAATTTGGAGCAATTTAGAAAAGGTAAAATGGGCTCTTAAGGAGTCGAATACTGTTTCGGCAGTCATACCAGGAGGGTTGACTGGAATGCTACAGCCGTTAGATGTTAGTCTGAACAGACCCTTCAAAGCACACATGAGAAACCAGTGGACACAGTGGATGGCAGATGGCATGGCTGAGCATACAGCCGAAGGTAATTTCAAGCGCCCTCCTTTGCCTACAGTTGTGTCTTGGGTCAAGGCCTCATGGGAAATGATACCAGAAGACATGATCAAAAAGTCGTTTCTCAAATGTTGCATCAGCAACAATTTAGATGGCACTGAAGACGATGCAGGAGGATGACAGTGACACAGATGAAGAAACGGATGTTGACAGCAAGGAATGGAATGATCTCTTTGGGGAGTGTGACAGTGAGGAAGAATTTGAAGGATTTTGAGACTGTTATTACCGTTATTTGTTCCCATTATTCATTTCCGTTCATCGTTTTCATTATTTATTTCGTTATTTGTTCCCATTGTTTATTTCCGTTCATCGTTTCCATTATTTATTTCGTTATTTGTTCCCATTGTTTATTTCCGTTTTTGTTCCCATTTTTTATTTCCGTTCTTTGTTTCCATTATTTATTTCCGTTCTTCGTTCCTGTAATTTATTTTCGTTGTTCCTAATCTTACCGTTTTCAATAAAAGTCAAATATAACAACAATGAAAAGAATTGTTTCTTTTACATAACAGCAACAGTGTCGATTTACGGTCAGTTGTTTGCAGGTGAAAACGTTATTATTTGGTGCGCTATCGCCCGTGGAGGCAATTAACGGCGCGCGACTTTCAATAACTTCACGATATGATATCCGTTAATGGGCGGTGATAAGGACTCTTATCGAAATTAACCGCGTTGTGGACGATCAAAGGAAATTGTTTTATGCCGACTCAGCAACTCTCTTAAACTCCCGACAACAATCCCTTTCATTAATACAAATCACGACGCATGAAAAGCAATATAGACTTTATTAACATGAATTTACAAGTAAGAGTTACGAATAAGAATCTACGGCCAACGCTAACAAACAGAAATGATAAACTTGAGAAATATTTGTGTTACAGCAATTTTGTTTTCTTTCTGCGCCTTTCTTAAGGCGTCTGGCGTGTTAAGATTCGTAGCGGTTTATAAGAATGTGTTAATACAGCGTTATTTCTTTCCTTGAAACGAACAAGGAACGAAATCAATCGCCGTTGTGGCGATCAAAGTAAATTGTTTTATGCTGATTCAGGAACTCTATTTTAAACTCCCGACACAATCACGACGCACTGAAAAGCAATATAGACTTTATTTAACATAAATTACGGGTAATAATCCACCTACGGCCCTCGCTAACACGCAGAAATGATAAACGTGAGAAATGTTTGCGTTACAGTAATTTTGTTCTCTTTGTACGTTTTTCTTGAGGTGTCCGGCGTGTCACGATTCATAGGACCGGCTTATGTGCGATTTTTCATAAAATCGCCGTTTTAAGGCCGTTTTTAGGGAGTCAGCCTATTCGCGATATAGGTGTAATTTCGAGTAAATACGGTAGTATCGGAATATCGGTAATATCAGCCTTTTGTAGTATAGGTGTTTTAGCTGGTATCGGATCGGTATCGGCGACAAAAGTGGTATCGGTACATCTTTATTACATACCCAAAGCTAATGGGACCGATGTTTTGAAATTAAAAAGCAGATGCGGTCCAAATCGAATAACTCAAAAGTCTGATGAATTAAAACTGCCAATTGAGACGCCCTGGTATACAAGATTGGTTGAGAAAAAAGGGATATTTTTATCCTGATAACAACAACAGTATAACCCCAACGACATTTTCAAAATCGATCCATGGGAATCCATGATAATACTGAAATAATATTTACCGGTACCTTGTTTCTACGGCGACAAAAGCCTCAACTTCTTCCATCAATAGCTGTTTTCTTGACTGGAGTTCAGAAATGCAACGTTCAACAGACTGAATGATAAAATCTCATTGTTAGAAAAAATACAGCAAAAACAGAGACAGTGATTCTCAAGTCCCCCCCCCCCCCCCCGCTAAAAATACATACTTTCTTCTTTTTTTGTTGTTAGCTTTGTACTAAAAAACACCGGAATGATGTACGCTCTCCGTTAGTTTTCGTGATTCACACCGCCAATTTGGAATATACCCGCTGTGATCATTATATTTAATGTTGCCACATTTGTGTCTGCATCATGAGCTAAAGAAATTAGCGATACCAGCATGTGTAAATCATAGAAACATGGAGTTTTAGCAAGTGTACTGCAACCAAATTAAAGAGAGAGTGCGCATTGGTGCGTAACTGAGAAAAAAAAATGAGTAAAATAGAATCATAAAAATAAAGCATGCATTGGTGCTTAACTAAGATTTTTCTGCCTCTGCTTATTGGGCAGAAATATGGAAAAATACTCATTTTAGAGAAAAAATTTGCTTTGGCTTACTAGCCGAAAAATACGGTAATATAAAATTGAAAGCGGTGATCAAGGCAGTGTATCTCCTGTATCAACCATTTTTTTTATCCTGGCAGATTCTTGTGAAAGGAACATAAATGAAAGATGCTGTGCAAAAGGGGTTCAAAATTTCATTAGTTGCGCAGTGGAAGTCTGATTTTGTAAAAATTGAAAAATCAGCTTAGACCTACTCTAAATAACTAAGTGACTACCTGCGCAATTTCTAGTTTCACTGCCTCCCCATTTTCTTTTGACTTCTTTTGCCTTTCTTCAAGGTCTGAGATGAGTTCTGATACCTTAGGGAGAAGTCTTTTGACCTACAGAAAAAATATATACCAGTATATAAAATTCAACAATTCTACATTCTGAGTGACAAACTGGAAGAAAATTACAGCCCTTTCGAACTATAATAGCTTCTTATATTTCAGTGGATACGAAAACTGGTTCAGGAATGAAACATATGAACATCTTTAGAAAAATTAATCCCACCCCACCTAAGACACAGTTTTCCAACTGACGAGGAATTCCTCTCCAGGGAGGAGTTTTGTTACTTGGTGCAATGCAAAAATTTCTCTCCATATTCAATATTCATTAAGTAATTTTACAATACATATTTATGCACTCCTTATGAAACAAGCCGGTAGGCCTACAGGATCTCAGCTGATACACAAGGTGGCCCGAAGTTCAGTAACACGTTACCATCCACGCAAAATTACACATATTACGACAGCAGTGACTGGGATACCAAAATTGACAGTTCATTTTAAGTAACTGCATGTGTCCTTGATCTTGAAATCTTAATTTCCGAGCTTGGTTATGAGATAATGGGGACAAATTGTGAAAAACAGTTATTTCTCAACGATCGGCGCGTTTTTTCCCTGATGCAATGGGAACAAAACACCATAAGGGTCTCCCAGAGCGAAGATCCAATATTCGATTTGTGCATAACGCTAGGCATATCAATTGAAGATTGAATAGCATTTTAGAGATCAAATTGTTTTGCCAGTATTAGAATCGCTTAAATATGAAATTTTCTGCATAAGAAAAATAAACTATTATACAGGACTTCCTTAATAAGCTTACGAAATTTTCAAATGGGGTTCCGCTCTGACGGAAAGGTTGAAAAAGACTGCGTCATCGCACCCACAATTTACCTGTGAAACTGCTCTGTCTAAATCTTGCTTCAGTATATGTGAATGTTTCGTCAAACAATTTTCGCAAAGAAGTTTTTCACAATGATTGCATTTTTCTGGTTCACAGCTCTTCTTGCCACATTCCTAAAACAAAATTGAAGAATTTAAAGATCTTGATGTAAAGCCATGCCGATTACCACGACTGTGGATGTTAATGATATTTATTGCATTTCTGGCAACTAGTGTTTTCCAGATGACTGAGGATGTTACTGACCAGCAATGTCACCAGTTACAGGTGACTGATCATGACCAACCAACTGTAAAGGTGCGTATTTGGAGTTAGGTACACAGTTCTGTCGGTGTGTCTTAGTTACTTTGATTATGGTTATAGGTATTCACTATTATGTTTATAGTGAGTTGCCGGAAAGTAAAAGTTTAAAATTGACTTTCAAACAACTCATGAGTCTAAAGTATAATAAGTTTATTTCCACTCCATAATCAGCTGAACGAAAAAAATTTTTCCACAGGAACTCAGGATTTACTTTTTCACAAATTTACCCTGAACAAGACATTTTCCACTCTTACCTGGCAAACGATTTCCTTAGGGGAAGATCTCTGGGTGGGAAGATCAAGAAACTTAACAATGGTTAAATTATTTGGAAGTCCATTGATACCATTACGAGGCAGAAGATGTGTAGAACGACATTCTGGACATCGAATGCTGCAAAAAATAGTCAACTTTGAAACCTCATTTGGTGTATTGTACTAAGCCAGAAGTCCTCAAACTTTCATGTTCTATGACCCCTTCCCCTTCTGCTCCCGCTTTTGTATAAAAATACTTTCAGACGAAAATAATAGCATTTTCAAATTTATCAAGGGGGAGAAAAAAAACGATAAGACGGCTAACTCAATTGGCAAATCATCCCCTAAATCAAAGAGGAATCTAGCAATACTCTCATGCATACTTATTCCTGATCGATTCAAACCAGCAACCCACATGGAGAGCACAGTAATGGGATGGAAGGGAGGTTTAACAATTAAAATGATAACTCAATCGCCCAATCATTCGAGCCCGCCATTCTGACTCTGCCACTGCAAGTCATTGAGGCAAGACTGGTCCAAATAATCTCATTCTCTTACTGTAGATAAGTGATATTGCCGCCTTCACCGAACAATAGAGAACTCACCTGCGAGCCGTCACTAAATTTTGCAAACATGGTCTCAAACAAAATGTATGCTGACATGGAAGTATCTTCGGTTGTTTAAAACGGTCAAGACAAACCGGGCAAGTTAGCAATTGCTCTATCTGGTCCATTCTAACGAGTCTCCATGTAGTCTCCCTGAAACTCCGATGTTTTATGTTCTTTCAGTATATATTTTTTGTTTGTATGTTGTTTATATACTATCCAGTTAACTTTGTATTTTTTTGAATATTGTTTACTTAATTTTTTTTATTCAAAACATACGTTTCCAATGTCTGGTATAAATGGAAAAAAAGAAACTTTAATTAGATTTACCTCATCTTTATTGTATTGTAGTAAGGACCATGTTACGTGAAACATCAAAAGAAATGAGCAGGAGATTTAATTTTCTATTCAAGCTTACTTGAAGCAGTGATTCTCAACCTATTTTGTTACACCCCTGTCCTTGATAATTTTTGAACTCTTTACCGCTGCCTCACTATGCATAAAAAATTACTTTATTTATTCAATCTTTAATAGACCCTCTTACAGTCTTAGCTATTATCATATGAAAGTTGCACTTTCATATTTTAAACAATATAAGTGGTTGTTGCAACCAATTATGACAGTTTACTTTCAGTTATATAAAATGGTCATGAGCCTTGATACCCTTCGACGATCTTGCATACTGACATACAATGTGTAAATTGGGTACTTTAATATGGTTCATGCAAATAGTAATACTTGTATATTGGGTATCCTAACATTCCTCTTTCATTCCATTCCTTCATTACATACCTGTGTTTCAGTAATAAAAAAAACTGTGGGACTTTCATACATCAATACACACAAAAATATAAAACTAAGCCAACCCCTAATCCTGCTTTATCCTTCCCAATAAATAAAACATACCAGAAAACATTACGTGGCTCGGCGTAAGCACTCAAAATAACACATGAAATGCCACTTGATATATTGATAAAAACAGCCTGACTGCCTGTTCCATGTGATGTAATGCCACTTCAAAAGCTCTAGTGCCGAAAACATTAATTTGTAATGGCAACTGGATATGATATCAAAGACTTTTAACTCTCAATAAACCCAATATGAAACTGAACACCAATTGGAAATTAAGCCTCGATCTGCGTTTGGTTTGTAATCAGGTCTTTGTTTACAACAAAAATGTCGTGTTCCTCCGAAATATTTGAATGCTCATCGCGAATATGAAATTTGCCTGTTAGTTATGCTAACTAAACGTGAAGAATAAAAGTATGAATAGGTATAACTTGAATTACAAAATGCATTATAAAAAACTCGTTAAATCTATAATCATATTTATAGTTTGTGTTTGGGAGCACTTGTTACGCTTGTTTACCTCAATCACTTCGGTTTACTCTATACCCGCCATGTTTTTTTTGTTTTGTGAGAAATAAGAAATGTTTACAATCATTCATATGCTAAGAAATATTTTTATTTTGTTTCAAGGTGTTTTTAAGGTATATTTAACGCGGTCAGGACTGCGACTCAAGTTTAAGACAACAAGACCATTGTCTTGAATCAGCGTTGTTTGATTGTAACTATGGTGACGACACGGTACATGAGGTCGGGGAAAGGTCCATACAGTGGTTCTCAACCTGTGGTACGCAAGCAGTTTTGAATTGCAACAATTAAACTTTTGAGTTGGCTAAAATATGCCGACAACGCTTTATCTTCCATACTGTATGTATTCGCTGTACGGCATTTATGCATCTTTTCCCGGGCATCAATTTCCTTGTTTATTTCCATAACCATAACCAATCAACAAAAAGTCAACAATGATGTAACAATTGCAATTTCTGCAGCCGCTCAGACACTTCCGTCCCTCAGGCAGATATTCAAGTATGGTTGTATAGTACACACTGCCTCGTATTTGTAGTTTTGCGGGTTATTTGTCAGTTTTCAGTTGTGTTTCGAAAAAATAGTTGCGAATTCAATATCTTGATTGTCATTATGTCTTCAAATGAGCATTAATTTAGTTGCTGTAATCAAAAATGAGTCTCGCAAATGCTGCGATAGACTAGTCCAGGGGTGGGCAACTTCTTTAGTCGGCGGGTCAGATGTGGGAAAATGAAGTCCTCGGCGGGCCGGATTATTACATGAATAGTATTCAATATCTTCATCAGTAGAAAAGTATCCTATGGAGCACAGCAATGACAAACGCAGTTAATATGGTTCTGAACAACAACAATTTTGTATATAATGACAAACATTGCCTCCAAATCAACGGAACAGCAATGTGAACCAAAATGACACTTAAATACGCCAATGCAATCATGGCAAATTTAGAATCCGTAATACTAGAAACAGCCAAGATCAAACCACCATACAACTTCAGTTATATTGACGACTCTTCTGATGTGTACTTGAAACAAAGACTTGTAATAAATGCAATCAAGTTGAGTGTATTGTTATGTTCCATGAGACGTTTCGAAGACGTGGGAGTTTGTTTGTCAAACTAACCCGATCTGATTTCTCTTGTCGAACACACAAAAGACCACTAAGCCATTCAGTCCAGAAAGTTATGTTGAGATAATGACATCTTATTATGATGAGGTCAGACAGAGAGTTTTAACCGAAGTTGGCAGTGAATCTTATTTGGGAAAAAAAAGAAAAAGATATGTGGTGCACAAAAAGGAGGGAGCGGTGGTTTGTAGAAAGAAATTATTCAATGACAGGTCTTGTTTTTATATATGCATATTTATCAGTTAGTTTTTTTATATCACCAGTGGCTTTACACATGATGAAGCTTTGTTATCACAGGTGCAGTAATATTTTCAGAGAATTGACTAAAGGTTAGAAAACAAATATATGATCAGGCTATTGTTATTCCTCCTCTGAATTTTTTTTTAGCAAACACCAATTGATCAAACTCATGAGCCAGAAAAGACTTCGAGCAATAAAACAGTTACAGAGTATAAACCTATGGTTAGTCAGAAGCATTAATTGCAGTTTATGTTGTCAAACAGTTTAGACTTTAGAGTATAAATTGTTAAACTTTTGCCATTTCAGACAATAACACAGTAGTCTAAGCACACCCAGGCACTACAGAGACGTGGAAATCACAGTAAAGGTTAAGAACTAGACGTATATTCAGCTTTAGGTTTTATATTATTGTTGAGCTGCTTCTTTCTTATTATTCAATATCTGTTGCAGCATGCCAATTTATACCAGTACAAGATCTGTCGGCTTACAATCAGTGATGAGCTGGAAAAATCGTAACAACCGGAACGCACCTAATTCGCAAAAATGTAATATTTACAACACGACGCGGACGTTACAGAAGGATTTGTCTGTTTTAAGATAGAGGCGAAGAAGAACTGCAATGAAATATGAAGAAATTGTCTAAATATATCTCTGTGTAAAATTACAAGAATATTCATAGCAATTCAATACAAACGTTATTGATAGAAAGTTATAGAATGAATTTGTATGGGGTCAAAGGTCGGGAAACGACAATATTACATGTTACTTCTGTACTAATAATTTGCGTGGTGTGATGTAAATATATTTACGAAGTATGATGTAACAAAACATAAATTAATACCTAAGTTTACCAAAAAAACTAGACTTTTTATACCATAGTTTTATTTCAACAACAGGAACGCAAATGCAATAAGACGTCCAACAACCGGAACGCCGTTCCAGTGCCTTCCGGCTACAGCTCACCACTGCTTACAATGTGATCTGATAGTTGCACCTCCGCTACAGCTGTTCAAAACACAGGAGCATAACATGGTTGTTGACTCTGACACTTCTGATATGAATGACGACTCAAGTACAGACAGTAGCTATGACTTGAATAGTGTTTCAGATGAGTCACGCAGTGGGTAAGTATCGATCCTTGAAGGCAAATTTTTATAGACATTTTCATTTAACTTATAATTAATTTATAGAGAAGGAGAGTCATACAAAATTATAAAAGAGGAATACATCGTTAGTCTACATAAACTTTTGCAAATCTTTGCTAGTTGTGAAAAGTGCTTTGGAATTTGTACCGTTGATGTGGAAAAGGTGGTTGGATCCATGGTGGTAACCAAAGCTATTTTTTGCCAGTGTGGATATAATCGGTATACGAAGATTACGTTCTGAGTCGTGTTTTGGTGAGTCCGTAAAATTTAATTGGTTCAACCTGAAAAACAGAAGTATAAGTGATCCGCCATCTTTTTCACAGAATATGTGCAAGTCTTGCTTCAGAAAGTGATTTCAGAGTTTGATGACAGTTCAACCACAAGCCAGAATGATCTGTCACCATCACCGACCTTGTCTTCCAGGTGTGAAAGACCAGATAAGGAGCTTGCAATACAGGAGCTTTGAAGCTGTTTTAATAGTCAAGTATTGACAACTAGGGCTGTGGAGTCGGAAAAAATTATGCAAGCAATTTCGGCTCTAACTTTTCAGGAAATCAAATTTGGTTTATGCAAGCTTTCGTTTTATTGAGAGAGACTAATCTCTGCAAATCAGGCCATTGAAGTTTGAAATTTGTACCCTCTGCTCCACAGCCCATAGTTCATTAAATGCAATTTATCCCTTCGCCCTTCTTGGTCTATTTTTTATCAATTTAGTTCTGATTTTCTGGTAATTCATTCGTGCCAATACATTTTTTATCTAAAATCTCCATTGTTTCAATACTTCTTGTTATAAATATTGAGTTGGCCCTTTTCATTCATGCATTTTGCTGAGGAACTTTTTTCTAAAGTAAGGGTGGTTGAAATCCTGTGTATGAGGGGGATTCAAAATGTTTTCTTATCTTAACAACCACACAAGATGGGAGTGGAAAGCTTATTTTTTTGCCCACCCTGTCCCAACACCACTCCACGAATGATCGGTAGGAAGTTTAACGGTTACGCCTGAAAAAATACATCCATTGAGATCCAAAGAAATGACACTGATTTTGCTTCAGATATTTGCATATCTTCAATAAGTGGCTTCAAGAACAAAAACATTAAGGCATATTGACTCAAATTCAGGATGATCAACAATGCATTGAACCTAGATTCCATGCTGTGTAGCCAAACGTTCCAAAACTATTTCGACTGCTGGGGCTTCATGACAGCAAATGCATGATGCTGGATTGGGTTGTTCAGAGCAGTGTGAACAAGAACACCTGCAAAAACAAGTGCACTGGAATTGTATGGATAAAATGGAGTAGGGGAAAGTGGGGAAGGTTGGGACACTTTTCTTCTTTTGCATATTTTGAGCCGTTAATTCTGCATATTCACTTAAGTTGGCGGGACGAATGCATAGAGGGGTAAGGAGACTTCAAATTTGA